ATCCATTTCCACATTATCCATGTTTGCTTATCATGTGTCTGGGTTCAATTTTCCAGCCTAATGCTTTACTGTAGCTCATAAATACAACACAAACACATGTTCAGCAGCCAACTACTGAAATCTTGGTTTTCAGAGCTTTCCAACAACTGAACACACAGCAACAAATAAGAGCGTTCAAAACAGACCAACTGCTTTATTTTGCAATAGTAACACAATTGTCATCTACCATAAAAAACTTTTAAAAGTTTTAAAATTTTTGCGACTTTTGATTCAGAGCAGTGTGCTGACAATAATGAAATGGTAATCAGAAATCTAACTGTAAGAGACTTGTAGTAGAGTATAAAACATTGTTTTAAAAATGATCAGGTGAGGCTGAAAGGAGTGTGTGTCAATCAGAGGCCTTGTTCTTCAGTGGGTGACTAGATTCTCTTGGTTTCCAGCAGTGACTGTCTGTATTAATAATGCATACACTCACTGTTCTGTAAGGCACTTTTAATGCAATCACTACACAGCATAATATGAATGGTCTCAACTTCCTTCACTGGATAATTACTGATGAAATTCATTTTAACAGCTGCCAGCCTGTGTCATTAGCCTTATTTCTTATTACATGTGTTTATTTGGTAATTTATTATGATTGAGTTGCTGTTACTGTCCTCAAGTTAGAATAGTTAGAGCAGCAGGAGGCATTAACTGCTGAGTGACATCTCTTTTATTACCCTCGAGAAGCCATGCTGATGGCAAGATCACCCAACATGTTTTCTGAAATGGATTCAACTGACAGGGGAGCTGTCTGTAAACCCATATGAGTTAAGGAAATTACTGGAGTTTTACTAGCATCTCCTTGTTTCTCACAAAATAGAAAAAAAAGGTTCAGGATTCAAAACGGAAAAACTAAATCGTTTAGAAATGTATAATAGCTAAAAAGAGAAACTCAACAGTGGGTCATTAAGAAGTTAGATGATCTCAAAATTGCAAATGTTGTCCCTGTCTTTAAATCTGAAGACCAGATCATTTTGTACTAAAATGCCTATATCATGTCCATGTTTTTCTTTGCCAAGTTAGACCTAAAAACAAACTCCAATGCATTTTGGTATTTTAGTATCAAGCCTCTGTGATGTGTTTGTAACGAAGGCTTGATGCCGAAAGATATCAAAGTTTATTTTTAGATATAAGCTAACCATGCCATGACATTAAAGGCATTTCATTTATTTAAAAAGAGAGTGCTTTGAGTTTTCTTGTCATTTTTATTTGCCATGAAAAAAAACTTCTAACCAAACATTTTTTCATACTAATAAATAAAGTATGAAAAAAGTTTGGTTAGTTAAATACCAACCTTGGTTAGAATACCAGGTTGGTATTTAATGGACCACTTGAAGCATTTTTGAGGAGTAGTATTAAAGTATTGATTCAGATAAAAAAAGAAATTCTACGCTTGTGGCTGTTACTGAGATGGTTGATCCAATTCAGACTGCTTTAAACACTGTTTGTGGTTTTGATACTTTTGATACTGTTCCCATAGTATTTTGCTTATTAAGTTATCTCTAATTGAATTACAAATTAGAAACAATGGTGTAGGTGAATGTCTGATGAGATGGGAGTTTCTTGTGGTGTCCTTTTTTTTTTTTTTTTTTTTTTTTTTTTTTTTTTTTTTTTTTTCTTTTTTTTTTTTTTTTTTTTTTAAAAATTTTGTTTTTTTTTTTTTAAATTCCTTTTTCCTTCTAAAAATAAATACAATTTAATTTTTGTGTGTACATTATTTTTTTGTTTTTTTTTAGGGGTTTTATTTTTTTTAGTTTTTGTAACCGACTCTTCTGCACGAGGCGCTAAAATGTCACCAGAAAAAAAAGCCATTCTGAAAGGATTATAGCGGGTGTCTGTGGCTGAGCCTTTTGTGGTGGGTGATGATGCTCCCATAGATGAATCATTGCTCCAAAAACCTTCAGCTTCAACTGTAATAGCAATTTAATGGCTTGTACCAGCATGTCTCGAGCTGTTTACCTCACCTTAGAGTTAGGGCTGCATACAGTGCTAATACAGTGGTCTTTTGTCTTTAGTCCACAAATTATGTATAGAGACCAACTAAAACGTGATTCCACTGTATCAATTAGAATGAATGAGTCCATCCTCACCTCTTCTATCACCATCTGGTACGCTGCTGCCACTGCCAAGGACAAGGGCAGACTGTAGCATCATTCGATCTGCTGAGAAGGTGATCAACTGTAATCTGCCATCTCTCCAGGACCTGTACGCCTCTAGGACCCTGAAGCATGCAGGCAAGATTGTGGCTGACCCCTCCCACCCTGGTCACAGCCTCTTTGAGATACTTCCCTCTGGCAGGAGGCTGCGGTCCATCAGGACCAAAACCTCACGCCACAAAAACAGTTTCTTCTCATCTGCAGCTGGCCTCATTAACAAGGCCCGGTACCCCCTTTGTCACTGACTCTTATACCCACCCTGTATATACAGAATGCATTACATTAATGCACCCCCGTCTTTCTTTTCTTATCTTTCTTATCTTTATCTATTTATATTTTGAAAGTACTTTATTTTCTGTGTGATTCTTGTGTGATTTGTAGATTTGTATATTTGTATTTGTATAGTTTATGCACCAATTGCACCAGGACACATTCCACGTAGGTGTAAAAACCTACTTGGCAATGAACATAATTCTGATTCTGATTCTGATGAACATTTGAGTGATTGTTTTATGTTCGACCTTGACAAACTTCTCTAATTCATTTTTTGCTTCTTTAACCTAGTGAAACTTTAATGCATTCCTGAGCAAATTAGTATTTCTGATATTTATTAATCATTAAGTCATTTTCAAATGACAGATTGTGCATGTCCATCTATCTAATGTTCATTATGCCTGCTGCAGTAAGCGCTCAAATTACTGTACGTGAGAGCTTCTGTGTGAATATTTGACAGCTCCCAAGAAAATAAATCTGTACCTTGAGTGGAATTGTGATTAAAATTATAACATTTTTGCTTTAACGGTTGTAATTACCATTGACTCGGCTGCAGACTCTGAACTGATTAACTGAATATCTAAAATACAGACCAAACCATCCATCTAACTTCTGAAAGTATGGAGCACTTCATCTGACAACTAATGGATGAAAATGGACAGACGGACCGAATCTTGGTCTTGTGGTTGTCATGACAGCAATTGCCAGAACAGCAGTGGTGGAAAGTAGCTTACTCATTTACTCAAGTTCTATACTTAACTACAAATTTGAGATACTTGTATTTTACTCAACAATTTACATTCAATGCTACTTTACACTTGTAAATTTTTTGACAGGTGTAGTTACCCCTTAATTGCAAGTAAAGAGTTGACATTCAGAATATATTAGTTTATAAAATATGATAAATTGTTATCCAAAATCCAACAGTTTATAAAGCTCCACCTTGTCTAGCATTAAAAATACTAAGTCCATGCATCTATAATAATTATCCAGTAATATAATATACAGTATAACACAATTGTATCCTGTTTTGCACAAAGAGCACTTTTTATGATAGAACATTTATACTTTATTACTAAACTTTGAATGCAGGACTTTGACTTGTAGTTGAATGGAACATTCAACACATTTTACTTAAAGCCCCTTCAAGGAACTGATTTAGTTTTTATACTGGGGGCCCCATTGGACAAAAGCAGTAGTGTTTCCACCGCCTCATTACATGGATTTCAAGTCGAATCTGACAGACACGGTGGCAAGTATTATTATCTTCTTATTTTGGCACCCATGTTAACAGATTAGAGCAGTCGCACTGGCCGCATGAGACACACATCTGCAGCAACGCTTCACTAGAATATCGAGGTCTATTCTATTTTTACCATGAGCCACGCACATCGCCCAGCAAAAGAGGACAGTGAAAGGATCTATTGGTACTCATATCCATATATTTCAGTACAGTACGTAACTACACATGACAGCTTTCCGATTACCACTCTTCACATTACTTTTAAACTACATGGCATTGTACATTAAATGATATAAACATTTAGGTTTTTCATGGATATTATTCAGGGAAAAGTGTATGTGGAAACACAGGGCTGGCAGCTGCAGCTGACATGCTCTCGGTGTGAACGCCGTGTGTGTGTCAGACACAGCCATCCGGCACTGTAGACGCCACGCGCTGCTCAGGCGGCCTATGTGAACGAGCAGTAATACTTCTTTGTACCACTGGCAACACGGAGTAGTAGTAGTAGCTGTGAAGGAGTTATCTGCCGAGCTTTAAGCTTTATGAGACCGCTCGAGGCAAGGGCTTAAAGAACCTTCTTTGTCATGGATTATTATATTATTTTATTATGTTTCTTTTTATATTAAACAATACTAGCTTTCCATAATGCTCTCAGATCAATCCGTCTGGAGCTATTATAACCTGCTTCTGTTGCTCTACACCTCTCCTAAAGCTCAGAATTTATAGCAGTTACAAACAGGATGATGGCAAGACATGATGAAACGCTGCTGACTTGCCCCTCTCAGCGTATGAATGCCAGAGTCTGTCATTTAGCCCATAACATTAGGAAGATTACATATGATTTACAACCCAAAGGTGGACTGTAGCTGGTGGCATCTCTACTGCTGCTATTTAATGGCTGATGATCTGCATTCATCTTGTCATTTCTTGTGTTCATTACTTTATACAGCTTTCTGTTCAGCTGCAGAAACTTAGATGAGTGAATGATATCAATAAGAAATTACCTGAAGATTTAAACAGGCTCCTCAAACTTCCGAGTGGCCTTGTTTACCCAGAGTGCATCTCTCTGAACTCTCTCTGACTCACTGTGTTAATCTTTTGTGATTGACCAATGTGCAGCCTGAATGCTTGATATGTAATTTTTTGGCATATCTGCCAAGTTAAAATATGAATTAAATTGCCATTGTTTGATCAGTTTCCAATTATATTGTACAGTAACTGCCTACAGGCAGTGGCCTTGGATAAAACCACAAACAGCTCTTTACTGACCCTCCCCCCACACTCACCTTATATGGCAGGACGACAGCAGAACCTCCACTGATGCCCACAATGGGCACAGCTGTCTGAGTGGAAATAAAGTCCAAGATCTGTGCCACGGCCTCCGAGCCAACGTTGTCCTCAAACACCACGCCATGGACGCGGTTGGTGGAAAGGGTGTCACAGATGCGGGTGAGCAGTGCCCGTGGGTTGGTGTTGTTGACCAGCACAGTGATGGGGTTCACCTCCAGAGGCAGGTCCATGAAGTTTTCCCGGCTTAGCCGCCCCTTAATCTCTGTCTGGTAGGCCGAGCCGCTGAACACCACCGCCACGTTCACAGAGGGCATGGGAATCCCGAAGGGCCGTCCTAAACAGCAGGGGACAGTGCAGAACAGCAGCAGCAGCAGCGGCGGCGGCCACCACGGGGAGTCGCTCAAGCAGCCTAGACGAACGCCCATCTCAGTCACCTACTGCCTGTAGGAGGGGTCACAGTAGAGGGAGGGGATTTACATGTTAGATACACAGGACCAGTTGCTGTCTTTTCTGACATGTTGTCATAATACTCAGTAATCCCAGCTGGCCAGGCAAACCAAACTGCCTTTTGTTTAGAGTTGGCTTATTTTGATTAATGACCTTTTAGCTTCATCTCTGCTCAGTGTGCTGGTCTGCCTGCCATAACTAAGACAGTGTAAGAGCCCATTAACGGAGCCCAGAGTAGTATTTTTAGATTGTGTCAGCGTGCGACATGAGGCTGTGGCCAGGCTGTTGCGTCTTAGGGAGGCAGCTGCCACCCTGCTGCTGTTGTATTCTGTGGTCCAACCCAACAGATGGTGTCCAGTGTTTAATGCAACAAATGGAGAACAAGAGGATTTATAATTTTTCTCTCGTGACATTACTTTTGAAGCTGTTGCTTAATTTACTCAACAGTCCAAAGCATTCAAACTTAATCTGTCAAAGGTCTGCATGCATGGTTTTGGCTATGCTGATTAATTGACATCCATAGTCTCATTATTCGAACTTGTAAGCTGTTTGGGAAAGTTTTCTTTTCTAGTTTTGAAACTGACATTTCAATTATCCAAACAGCAAAATCTATATTTACCAAGGGATTCAAATTCTCAAATTTGACTTTTGAAAAGATCCAAGCTCTGTGCACCGTTGCATCACTAATGGACTGGACTGCAACCAGTAACTCTTGGCCAAACTATCTTAATTTCTTCCAAACCCCTAATTGCTTTGCTTTCTGCCCTCCGGAAGGTAATGGAGGAGAAACTCCGTGGCAGAGCACCGTGATGTCAAACCCTGTAGTGTTAGTTTAACATTCACATTGTAGCCAGACAGCGGTTTGTGTTGAGCTGTCAGACAGACTTAGGCTCTTTGTCAAATCTGTCACAGTAGTGTTTGTGGCCCTGAGGGAGTGCTGCACACTGGTCCCCTGTCACAGAGATCTGATCCACCATGTGATGGAATCCCAGTGGGTTGAATATATTGTAATCCTTTGGTAATCCCTGCCAGGCGTCATGGCCTACGGCTTGATTGTAGTGTATAAACTTATCAAGAGATTTGGCTACTGCACGAGGCTCAGTGTAGCTGTGTGGCGCAGTTCTCTCTATGTTCTACTTCCTGTGTGGGACCGAACAGTGAGTTCCTCTTAGAAAACATTCCAAACAGGCAGGCAGGGAGTCTTGCTTGGTAGGTCTCTAGAATACTTATCATGGGATTGCTTCTCCAGTCATGTCACACAATGAAATCCAAATAACAGACATCACACATGTGTTGGAAGGTGTACATGCTATGTCCTACATGTGATTCTCCAGGTGGGCGTTGCCCTTATAAATCATTTTATAAATTGATTACTCCACACAGTGAGAGGGCATCTGCCATATTCCTTTCAATGACACTAGCCATGTTTCAGCTGCGGCAGCAGTGGAATAGTTTAGGGTTAATGTCTTTGACGGGGAGCACCGTACGTGGTCAAAATGCTTAAAAGCTTCAACCTTCTGTGTGTTTAATCAAGGCAGGGAAATAGCTGAGGCAGATATATGAAGGTCGAATTCCGGGGTGGTGGATATAGAATTAAACCAAACAGGGAATGAGTCATCTATAACTTTGTGACAAGGCTTTGTATTGTCAAGACGCCTTCTAGCAAGGAAATAACAACCAAGACCCACATTGGCTAACTGTAGCTCCCAATATACCTTATCTGATGTTTAGATTCTGAATAGTGCAGTCAGCTAAGCTTTATGACGCAGCTGAATTGCAGATTGGCTCTGTAGATTTGCTGGGCACTGACCCCTCAAACTCTATAAGTAAGTGGAATCTGCAAACTGCACCGATACATAAAGGAAAGAGGCTTTTCATCTGTGCCTGGGCTAAATCCTCCAAAAAACATCCCTGTGTATACAAGGGCTGAAGGCTTCACTCTGATTTTGGGGATCAAAAGTCACTGTGGACATCCAGTTTGAGAGATTTTAAAAAAGGGGCATGCATGACTAGGTACATCCATCCTGAATAATCATGATGCACAGTGTATTCGGCTCTAAAGCCTGGTTGTGGCAGATACAAGATACATGCTGTAGGTTGAGCTGTGAGCAAGAGACAGGTTGCTGTTTGCGTAATGATGCTGTTACAAACTGGATTCAGCATGAGTCACACTGTACCTGGTGACCGAGTGAGTGGAAAACCCTGTTGTCCTGTCCATGTTAGACACGCTGGTATGACCCATTTGATGTAAGCTGCTTATGAACCAATTCCATTTTTATGTAATCACACTCAATTAAATATTATTTCTCCTAAACATGTAGTCACAAAGCTAGTTTTGCTAACGTGTAATTAATTAATCATTGGGTTTCATAATGTTTCAAGACTAACATGCTAAAAAACAAAATTGTAAATACATTTTGCCAGCTTTCCTGCATCAGATATATTGATCTAAAGATTGGCCTCTGCCTTAAGTTCCTTTTGGTTGAATAGTCCATAAGAAGCCTCAATACATATTTTCAGTAATTGCAATCAGTGACATTCTGTCTTCTTTGTTGTTTTTTCTTTCTGGGTAACTTTAAAGCAAAATTAACCTAAAAATAATAGTAAAAATTAGTGATGCACCAATTCCAATACTGGGTATGGGGTTCGATACTATGCTTATGTACTCGTACTTGTAATCATAAAACTACTCAGACAGCATTTTGTGGCAGCGTGACGTTACCTCTCATTAGTTAGGTCGAGTAGAAGCAATGTCAGCTTTTTGGAGATTTTGGAAGCAACTTTTACAACATTAGCAGAACAGTTTATTACAGTCAGTTCATCAGTGACATCTAATGAAAATAACACGTTTTCAAAGTCATTGTTTGAATTCTAATACTTTTATTAAGTACTCATATCCGTACTCTGTTTCATTGAGTAAGCAAATGTGAAAACTTGAGTTTTGTCTGAAAGAAGTGGTGCATCTCTAGTAAAAAGAATAGTTTATTAATACTAACATACTGATGTGTGAGCACAGTATATTTTTTTGTATGTTCTGGCCATGGTTATATGTCTTAGGCGAGACAAAGATAGTTCAGTGGCTGCAGTGATCACAGATAACATCTTACACGATCTGTATGACTTCTAAAATGAAAACTGCGGGAGCTGCTCTCCCTGTTGGATTGGAAAATTACGTGTAGATAATGTCGGTGTTCAGATCATTTCACTGTCATTATCACTTGCCTCAATCACAAGGGCACAGACCTGAAAGTGGCAATTTCCACAGACATTTAACAGTTGCTAACTGTTTGAAGAAGTAAAGATGCATTTTCACCATTTCAACATCTGGCTAGAATGTGTCTCCAACCGCCTGCTCTGGTGGTTCAAGCAATCAAACAGCATCTTTAATCCCTTCTCATTGCAAGTACACGTTTACGGCTTTTTTGATATTGAAAAGCTTTCTGATCTGCCCACTTGAAGCACAGCACAAAATAAACAACATACATAAGTAAAATTTTTCACCGCTACTGACACTCCATGCACACATAGAATACAATATGCACTGTGAGGTACCTTAACCATAACCACTACATGCCCCGAACCAATCCTTTCAATAGCATTAAACGAACCCTCAGCCTAAACCTAAACAATACCTTAAATTGTTAATGCCTTTGTGTGGACCAGATTTTTGTGAATTTTGAATCACAAACTTTGAGGAAGTACACAAGTAAAAGTTATTTTCGTTATTTATACAGATTATGGCCTGAGATTGCAGGTAGTCCTACGACTTTCACTGTCAGTCTATTCTGTTTGCAGAGGTTAGTCCCTTAAATGTGACCAGTGTTTTCTTACGAAGTCACTACTAGCACAAGGGAACATAAAAAGGTTATATGACCGAAGAAGTTGCTTCAAAATAGTTCAGACCAACCACTTTCCTATTAACTGTTCTGTTCTGATGTTTGATTGAAAATAATCAAATGAGAGATCAGACTTAATAACACAAGACATTTGATAAGAAAAACCTGTACCAAACCAGTAGCAGCCCCTCACTGAGAGTCTCTGAATTCTGTCTTCAGTGTTGTTTGACTAACAAACATTTAAGATGTGCTTATCCCCCTCTAGTGGGTGACATATGGTGGAAGCAGTTTCTTTACAGAATTAGCTGCCATTCAAGAAGTGGATTGCAATGACTGCAGGGGCTTTATCCTACTATCACATCATTTTCCTTCCTCGTGGTTTATTCTGGGGTACCTTCACTCTACTGATATCTGGACGGTTTGATAAAGTGAACAGGTAATAATGCAAACATCCACATCTGCATATTCAGCCTGTACATGTTATCTACTTCTCTCTAAGTTGAATATTGTTGATATAAGTTGAAATTAATTTTCTGCACACGTTGACACTTCCTGCTCAAAATGTATGGCCTTCACAGACTCGGTGATGAGAATATGAGCACAATATATAATGTATACTGTAATCTCACACATTGGTTTTTCTTCTCAGTATGATTTACCTCTCATTTATTTTCTTACTTCATACTGCAATATCCATCTGGCTTCTTCAGTGTTCAAACCTGGTGTGTAACACACAGACCAGTCCACCTTGGCAATGCCACGTTCAGCCTGAGGTTCAGCTTTGCATCTGTTACAACAATCATACACATGCTTCCAGTCATCCATACTTGCCTCACACTACTGACTACATCCAGTCACACTCCACACTTCTTCTTGTTTTCTTGTTAATTAAATAAACTCATTTGGCTTTGGACTTTTGTTTGTTTGTGGACTCCCTATGTTGTTAGGAGCCTGAGCCAAGCTTGAAAGACACTGTACAATCTTTCTGGCACTATGTCATCTGAAAGAAGATCATTTATTATTATTGTACTGGATTTTTACTTCAATACCATTTTTTTGCGTGGTCAATAATTGCTACTGCAACAGCCGGGCTTCCCCACACTGCACTGTGCAGTCTCATCTTACTGTATCCTGTAAACCCTTCATTTTCTGATATTG